TTGAGAATATGCTTTTCTGCCTTCAACTTTACATATTCATGGCCACAAAAATTTAAAAGAAAAAAAAATTGATATTCTTTTTCAGTGGCGCATTCAAGTGACAAATGGACATTATTGTATGGCTATAATAAGATTTTCACTGAAATAGTAACTGAGAATCTTGGGAGTGTCAATGTCAACTTTGGAGGCCAGGCTAAGGAGTTTTGTGGCAACTATCTTGATGGTGCTGCATTGTTAATCCCTGTGTATCTCCAACTACCTTCGATTCGAATTCATGTTTATTAGACAGTTTTAACATAATATGGTAACGCCATTAATCACATTCTAAATCCAGAAAGTCTCACTGTCCACTATAATTATTATGACATTTTGTGGTTGGGCTCATGATATGCATTTGCAGTGTGTGGTTGTCTTTGTGATGTCCTCTAAATTCAAAAGGAGAATTATCATTCAATATTTGACAGATTGTGCTTCCTGTATGTTTGTAGGTGCCAGTAAACCATCCGCCTCAGATAATGGGGTGAATATAAGACATATTGCCATAGTCATAGTGATTAGTGCATTGGTTTCAACTGTTATGATTATTGCAGTGGTGGCAGCGTATAAGGGCTGGCAAAAGAAGAAGAGGCAACAAGACCAGGCTCGGTTTTTAAAGCTATTTGAAGATGGGGATGACATTGAGGATGAACTTGGTCTTGGACCATAGTCTATGTAATGAGATGGTACACTGGTAGCCTCCTGTAGAGTAAGTTGATCTTACTCAAGTTTTGCCTGTTGTGGGGCACAAAAGAGGAGAGAATCACTTACACTGCAAATTTTGAAAATGCTTTTGAGAAACCGTGTATTTTGAGGTAGCAGGATATATACCAATTTATTATTATTATTTTTTAGTACGTAGAGAATATGAGTCAAACCTTAGACCTTAGCTAATAATAGGGGTAATTCAACTATTAAACCACATGATTGACGGTGCCACTTTAATGTTGTTACCAGATCACAAAGTATGTATATAGGAACCTCTGAAGCCTTGTTACATAAATTTCTTTGTCTCCTAATGTAATCTGTTATATGGAACGTATCACATTCATCATAATTGACAATGTTAAATGCAGATGTTTTTATTGGTTTCTAGGATTACAAGAGAAGAACGAAGATCGATAAAAATGTGCAATTTGAGGTGTCATAACAAGACTTACATGTCCTATGTTTATTACTCATAGGGCCTTTGGTCCTTTAGCAAACAGGGGAAGTAACCGAAGATGCTATCACAAAAGCCAACTTCATCCATGCCATATCTATACCAAGATTTATATTCTTCCTCACCGTAGCTGTACGAATCTTCCTCTCTGTATCCATTACCAGACCAAGGATTATAATCAGCATCGCCCTGGTAATATGCATGATCGCAGCAACTCGAAAAACCCTCGTAGTTTTCATCAACGTGGTAGGGGTCGTCGCTCGTCACAGCATTGCCATCATGCCCATTTTCATTCTTGGCGTCTCCATTGGGGACGACACCATCTCCTGATAAGCCACTAAAGATGGAATCAAATTCCCATCGCCAATTCCTCCAACCGCCTGGGAGCAGCTGTTCTTCCTCACAAGCTGCTTTCTCCTCGCAGAGATCGTTGAATTCAGAACGAGGATTGGCAAAACTCAAATCTAAAATTGGAGGAATATCTTCGTAAGCGTTGGCAAGATCATAGTTGTCAGGAAACAAACCGTGATGTTCCTCACTGATCCTTGTTTCTTGCATGCCTCAAGCACAACACAGGTATCCTAATCTTTTAATCGCTGTAGAGATTGCAAGGCCAGGCAAATTTATATTTGGGGGAGGCAGAAAATTTGATCACGAAACACACATTGAGCATCGAATCTGTCTTTTGGTAGGAAAAGCACAGCAAAGTTGAGCATCTTTCCAGTGAAGATCAATGTCGGTCGCCGTAGGTCCAGAGCATCATATACCATATGTCACTAAACCGAACGCACTACTTTTCTGGGAAAGGTTTCTCTTTTTCTCACAAAGCCAAACAACCATGGACGGTGGAGAATGCATCATCTTAATAACAAGTTAATAGTCATAGGAATATGTTTATAGTTCTATGGTTTTAGAGTTTGAACTGTGCTAGATTGTTTCTAAGATTCTGAAAATAAGCCTCCATTCAAAAATAAGAATTAAAATTACCATAATGAACCCAAAAAATGGGCACAGCTTTCAGCAAGAAAACCCAGTAATAGAAACGGGCTCAACATGGACAATCAAGAATTTAATGCCCAATGAAAGAAACACAGCAAGAATTTGAGTTCTGATCAAGGCATATTAGTCCCTCCACATCTCTAACCGATGTGAATTGGATAGTTTCTTTGGCGAATATACCCGTGAATACGCTGAACCCTGAAGGTGACGGTGAGGGCGGTGATGTTGGAGGCAATGAGGGCGTGGGCGAAGAGGGTGAACCCGTCGGATGAAAGAGAGGCGTTGGTGGAAACGGAATAAAGGAAATTAAAAAAGGGAATGGATGCGAAGAAGGGTAGGACTAAGAAGAGAAGATCTGCCATTTTTAATTGAGAAATCAGAGTCCAAGAATTGGGTATCAGTGAGAATTTTATTTTATCTTTCCAAGTAATCCCACTCTTCATTTTCCCTCAAGTAAAGGTTTTAACAGAATCTGGTAATGCAGCTGATAGGGCCTCTCTGATTTCTGACCAAAAGGGAAATAGAATTGTCATATAAATACATACAGTTTTTGAAGATGCATTAGAGACATTATAGAGAAAGAAAAGGAGACCCCATAACGTTCTCCTTGATTCTGAATTCAATCAATTCCTCTGGCTCTGAAAGCTGTATAAGCTCAAAAAGACCATCTGTATTCAGGGATGAACTAAGAAGGTGAGCAAGCCTGACATTTTAGGCAAAGCCTAAGTATAATCGGAACTCCACACTGATCGATTGAAGTTCTTTAACTCCTCTGAGTTGCTGCCATAGATTGCCCTGATGGTATCCCTGCAGCAGCTGCAAGACAGATTGCAGACAAGCGTGAACCAAAATGGTTATATTTTTTTATGTATTAATGCATGAGAAATTACAAATTAGAGCCGTGGCTGACCTGCACGCCTCCTTGTTGAACTTTTTCTTGTCAATGCCATACAATGATTTGAAAACTTCCGGTTCCACGCGACAAAAATATGGACGATCTGAAAGGAAACGGTCAGAGAACATGAAGTTTTGAACATGGAAGCTGAGTATATTACACTGCCATAAATGCTTACCAGAGTAAATGGAGCAAGTGCGAGTGCTTTTCTCAAAGTGAATACACCACCCATCTGCACCTATCAAGCTTCTGTAAAGCTGAAACCAAAATTTCCATCATCAATAGGGGCATCAAGTTTCAGTGTCATTTTGTCAAACAGATGGTGTGCAAGAGTTTTAAGCCGAAGATGTTGACCTCAATATCAGCAGGGTCAGTGAAGATTTCTTCAGGCGTGGCAAAAGAAGGACCTTTGGCCAACTTACAGCATGCGCCGCAGCCTTCCACACAGCCCCACAACTCCTTCCTCCCTCTACCAAAGCCTTTGATGCTCCTGGTACTGGTATTACTGCTAGAGCCAGAGTTAGTTTTGGGTTTTATCTTCTGAGCTTTTTGTTCCGTCCGGTGAGCTGAAGTCACGATGCTGAAACAAGACTGGTAAACAATGTTGGATACTTGTGGGTGATAATAGGGGCAAACTGCACTTGGTGTCATGATTGCCGTGGTAAACCTGGCTCTGGAGCAATGAGCATGCACGTTATATTTCCCGGTTTAAGGGCCTAGAAAGTTAGAAGCATGTGAATACCGATCAACTAAGAGTCGCTTTCAATCGGACAGAAGCAGGTCATTTAAAATCTGTTTTTAATGATTCATTGAAATCTAAAAACAACTGGGATGATTGCATCTGCCATTCATTGATTCATTTTGGCCATGAATCATTTCCTGCGAGAAAAGAAGGTCTATTCGAATCGACCAAATTCATCAATAAAAATTATTTTTATCTCATAAAGAGTTTCGAAAAATGTTAAAATGCAGGTATAACTCAGGAACAGGTTCACAGCAACAACAAAATGCAAACTCATAAAGCTCCAGAAACTACTCAAATGAACCTTAACAACCAAGATTTTATACCATACAATCTACGTTTTAAGTATTGTGGTAATCAAACCACAACAGTGCATAACTTGGATTAGTAGGACACACTTCACGGTGACTCACTGCCTCTTGGGCTGCGACGATCCTCATAATCATCATCCACAGGGCTCCTGTCATCCCTTGGACTGGGACTCCGGCTGTGACCATTGGTTTCAGAAAGTGGCCTTCCTGCAGGACTATCTTCTGGACCAGCAGGGCTCCCATTCCTTTCCCTGGGACTATCACCATTCTCAGCTTCATCCTGACGAGAAGCCCGTTTCTCATATCTGGGTGAAGAAGGGCTACGTCTCTCCTGTGGACTGTCTTCATCAGGTGTCAGGCTACGCTTCCGCCCCTTGGAAGGGGGTGGGCTATTCTTTGGCACAGGGCTCCGTGATCTATCATCATGCTCAATGCTGCTGTCTCTTTTGGCTGGTGATCTTGATCGGCTGCCATGATAAGGGAATCAGATAAGTAACTGAACAAATTAATGATCTGCAAAATAAAACACAAATAGCAGGAAGAAAAGCTGCAGTTGTTCCCAATTTGTTTCTCCCATCCACTATCCCCTTTTCGTGTACAAATATAAAGAAAAGACCAATTCCAATATGGATAGTGCTTATTGGCCAAAAAAATTTATGGGTATTGTTTTCTTACTTTTCCCTCTTTGTTGGAGAAAAACTAAAAGCCACAGCACAACTAACCTGTAGCTCCGGCCTCTGCTGTAACTCCTGCTCCTGCTCCTGCTCCTGCTCCTGCTTCCGCTTCTGCCACGTCTAACAGGTGAACGCCTACAATACACATGAAACAAGGATGAGTGGATGGCACTAAAAGGTTCAAGACTTTGCAAGTCTTCAATGAGAGAAGGAAAACATAAAAGATCAAAAAGACGAGATCATTTGACAGACTGGCGATCTTCAGAAATTAAAAAAAATTACCTGAGCTTCTTTGGACTGTTCTTACAGTTCCTCTCTATGTGACCTCTTTCTCCACAGCGATAACATTTGTTCTTCCAATCACCAGCTTTGCAATCTCTAGCCCAATGCCCGTCAAGGCCGCAATTAAAGCAGCGACCAGATCCTGGTGGAGGACCTCTACCTGGATGGTCTCGAGAACCACGAGGTACCTAAAAAGCATAGCAAATTCAAGCAGACAATCAGTAAAAGCCACCCTTTTTTCAGATAGCTGACATCAAAAGACATAATAAAAAGAATAAACAGGATACAAGATACTCACCCCCCTTGCAAACTCAACAATGATACGACTACCGTCAATATCCCTACCATCTAGGCTGTACCTAGCATCATCTGCATCTCGTGGATCACTAAATTCCTGTTCAAACAAGTTGGGATAAAAGCAGACCAAGCAACCATGTCCATTTCATATAATTGATAATTGGTTACTTGCAATAACAAAGAAAACCTAGCAGCAGATCAATAATGTAAATATACAAAACAAGAGAGAAACGAGAAGGGTGGCACTTACAACAAAGGCGTAGTCATGCTTCATATCCACATCACGTATTCTGCGGAAATTGTTGCCAGAAACAATAAGGCCATCATTACTTAAGTACTGCAAGACTATGTTACTTCATTCATCCTCACGGACGAACTAAATTCCAGTTTGAGATTGTTGCCATTTCCACTAAAACACGCAATAACACTACAGAAAGGATCACCAAGGTCTCCTATACACTGGGCAAGAATTTCCACCAATTCCACCAAGGCAACCCTCCCACCATAGGCCTCCAGGTTAGGCAAAAGCCCAAAAACCTTCAACAAGATCATTCAAGTTAAAACTTAAAACACACTACACCTAGGCGCACAATGTTCCCACGCATATAACATGATGAATAGCCAGCTAAATACCTAAATCCAAGCACAAAGGAAGCTTGGTGATGACCTAAGTTGCCCCACAATCAGCATCTAATATAAGAGACCATTTGCTAGACCATAGCCTCATGGACTACCAATTTGAAAAATCATTCAATCATTTGAAAGAATAGACTTTAAACATATCAAGATTGGTGTTGTTTCCATAAATACTAAACAAGACGCTTTATAAAGCAGTTCCATAGAAGTTCCTATTATAATCTAAAAAATAATGCAAAATGACCCCCCTACTCCATCTAGTTTTGACTGCTTTATAAAGCAGTTGAGGAACTACATTAACTAGAAAACAAGACGCTTGCCCCTCCTAGCGAGCCAACAAGATGGAGAGACAATTACCACAGCAGCAACTACACTACATAACTAATACAATTTCTGTCTAAGAGGTGAATTTCAATAAGCAATAAATGGGCAAAAAAATTCAAAGCACCAAAAGGAGAACCTTTAAAATAAGTTTTGACACACCATTAAAAGACATCTCAAGCTCAAACTGAAGAATGCAAAAGGATTACCTTCCGTATCTGCTGAAGATGTGTTCTAGATCACGCGAGCGGGTTCTTGATGACAGGTGACCCACATAGAGTCTTGTGTTACCATGGCGATCATCATAGCGAGGCATTTCAAACTACAGAACACAAAGCAGAAAGCAAGCAAATTCCCATTACGTAACAACTAAAAGAAGTATTAAACCCCTAAAAATATCCCAAATTGGACCACCGGCAGCCCCTTCTTTTGCTAAGAAATCTCCAATTAAACTATACACAAAAAAATCTTACTGCTACCACAAAGCACTGGACATTGATTCCTCAGATTCGGAATTCCTGACGATTAAAAATACATAGAAACGAAAAGCTACCATCTTTGAGGCAAAAAAACGAACAGAATTGAAAATTGCTGAAAACCCTAAAAGGTAAACCAATCGGATTCAAAATCAATCCCAAATTACCATCAGACTCAGAAAAGAAAAGAAATTTGTACGAAAATTTAAAAGAGAAAGAACCCTAATTAAAGCAAAAGAGGTGATTTTGAGAATTACATACCTCGAAAGATTCGCCCAAGTACAGAAAGACCAAAATTTTCAGTACGAAGAAAAAAGGAGTATTTAGAACTGGAGAGTGTTCGACATTTATATTGTGGGAGAAAATCAAACCGACAACATGTACGGCCAGGATGCGGTCTAAAACCAATCCAAAGGTTAGGAATCGAAGTAGAAAGCAAGACTGGACCTTTAGGAATGGGCCGCTAGACTACCGATTTGGGCTAAAACCAAGATATCAAACTGGATAACAGTTGACGAATTCTTCTAGGGTACAAATTTTATGGTGGGTATCAGGGTGTAAAACAAAGACCCATTAGATGGAAAGAAAAGCTTTAATATTAAGGACCTTTCCTTTATCTAATTGTCAGTATAGTGTAGTTTGACATTGTTTGAACTGCATTACACTTTTTCAATTATTTTACTACCCTAATAAAGGCCACTTGCACTCTTAGGATAGTTGGGACTTGGGACAACTAAACAAGATTAGTTTCAGATATACCGTTAGCCCAGACGATGGTAACCCAAGAAGGAGGTGACTTGGGTTTTCAAAAACGTTATGCAATATTCAAATACAAAATAATGAACACTCACAAGTAATTGCAAACAAATAATTTAAAATGTAAAAATTAAAAATTAAGGGAAGAGAAAGCCAATACACAAGGATTTATAGTGGTTTGATCACAATTTGTATCTAGTCCACTCCTCAAGCCGTTGGCTTGAGAGTTAATTTTGGATTTAAAAGCTATTCTCCAACTTTCGAGTGTGAGGCAACCATTTGTAATAGTTTTATCGATGCTATCCACCCTCAACAATTCAACCCCTTATTACAATTTTTCACAAACCCAATCCTATACCACAAAGATGGTGTTATACCTTGAGAATTAGGACACGTGGAAATATTTTAAAAAGATTCCTACCAAGAATAAGATAAGCTCAATCCTACTAGAGCTAGACCTCCCAAACACCAATCCAAATAGAGTTATAGTTCTAAAAGGATTTTATGTAAACATCCTATAAATACTTAAAAATAAACCTAAATAAACCTAAGAAGGTAGATTATTTTTTCTCCACTTTCTCTTCATTGCAAACTCTCTCTACTCTTGATCAATAAAGTTCTTGGTTCCATACCATCTTTTCTATTTTTTAGTGTTAACAAATGGTTTTCTCTAGATTACCCAATCACTTTTTCAATAATTTATGGGTGCTATTGAACTATTCAATCCCTTTGTTACAATTCTCTGATCTAATAATATTTCTCCAATCTCTCTCTCAGTTGTTACAATGAAAGAGAACAAGAACATGAATATAAAAGAGTTGATCTCTCAAAGAATAAAAGTGGAAACTTAATCTCCTTTTGTTTCTAAGGTTGTAAGCTCTTTTTCTTTTTCTTCTTGTGCTCTTCTCTACTTCAAGGTTTGATATATATGCCTTATGATTGCTCAATCAAAGGATTATAATTGTTGAAGCATGATTGGAAAGAATATAATCCAAGTATGATAAGTTATTCAAAGTCTTTAGCATGAGGGGTTGGAACCTACCTACCTCTAGGGCTTGGAACCTCTGTTGTTGGACAGTAGCTTTTGTGGTTCTGCACCCTGAGATTTATGGGTTGGAACCTAGACAGTTTCTTGCACTTTCGCCCAAAAACATAATTATTAGGGGTTTTGGACCTTGTTGTAGGGGTTGAAACCTCAACCTAAATATTGTTAGTTCACCATAAAAGGAAATATATTGACTAGGTAATCACACAATTAATTTGGCTTCCAAGGAAACACATTCAAAACAAAATATTTGGCAATCAACTTAATATCACTAGAAATAAATCAAGTAAATATTCTAATTCACATTTGGTTTTAAATCTATCAAAATCAAGAATAACATATATAAACTAATTTGAAAACATTATCATCGATGCATATTAATATAAAAAAAAATTATTATACAGTTCAAATTGTATAATAAAAATAGTATGATAAGGGACATACCCCTAATATTAAAGGTCTTTTCCTCATTTAACAATTCATGTTTTTGAATTGTAAAATAACAAACCCTTGATATAATACAAGTTTAGATACAACTTAATTTTAACGTGGAACAACATAACATTGAAACTATATATAAAAGTTAAATTAGAATAAAACGAATGGAAAGAGTAGTTCAATACTAAAAAATTTGTAGAACATGTGGGATACACTTCATTAACAAACAAGAAAATTCCCTGTAATTCTGTTGCATTAATTCTGGGATAAACAATCCCTAATTACTTGTATATATATTTTCATTTTACCTTCTCTTGTTCTTGCTTCCAATCAACAAAGTAAAGTAAAACAGAATCCTGAAGAAAAATCCCCAGGCCAGAGTTATCCACAGGCAATTCCATTTGCTTAAATCCGTAATTCCCTGCTGCGCAAGTATGTCTACTCCGGTAGTCACGCAGGTGGACCCCGTGAGGTTCATCCCCAAGGTACTACCCATGCTCTGCAACAGCTTCAGCTTCACTGCCGTCGGTACTGTTCCGAGCGGCGTGTTGTCGAACATCTGGACTCCTTTGACGAAGCATTTTGTTGGGTTGTCAAATTCGTTCTGTAGAACGGCTTCGTATGGGTACTTCACTAGGGAGATGTAGTGGAACCATATCCAGTATAAGGGGATTCGGTCGCGGGAGATGAAGAAGCCGCTGAAGAGGAGGAAGTAGGCGAGGATGGCGACTACTACGGTGAATCCGAGCATGACGTGGGAGACGACGCCGGAGAGGAATGTGACGAAGGAGCTTCCGGCCCAGAAGGCGGCGAGGATGGTGAAGAAGAAGAAGAGGAACCCATGGAGGCCGCCGGCGAGTCCTACCGTCCAGAAAGTTATGGCGGCGAAGGAGATGGAGAGGACGATTAAGGAAGGGATGGAAATAATGGAGTGGGCGAGGACGTAGGATGATCGGCGGTAGGCATTGTAAGCAGTTTCTCGCATGAAGATGTAGCGTTCTTGGAGGAAAACAGGGATGGCTTCGGCGCAGGTGTAGAAGGTGGTGGACATGGCGAAGGCGAAGAACCCAATTCGTTCTTGAACCCCTTTGGGGGAATTGTCCAGGTGCCAGAATATCGTTGCCAGGATGAATCCGGTGACCACAACGGCGCCTAATCGGATTCCGAACAGTTCAGGCATTCTTCTTGAGTTCGTCATCGATCTTTTAGCAATGACAATCATTTCATTCCAGAACGGATTCGCAAATGTGGGCACTGAAGAAGTCAAATTCGAATCAGTGGTGGCTCCGGAGACTAATTTCCCCCGGGAAACGCTTGCACTGATGGCCGCTTTGAGTGAAAGATTCCGGCATTCGGCGAAATTCTTTCTGGGATCAATTCTGTTCTGCCATGACCTGTTGAATTCCACCAAGCTTTTTGTCCCGTCGGAAGTTTCTTCCAGCTCACGAATCAAATCCAGTGCGAACTCAGTCCGATTCTCATTCTCCGGAATGGGATGACCAAACTCGGCGAAGAAAAGGGGGAGGTTCGTCGGAGAGCCGCTGTACACCGTCTGTCCGTGAGAAAGGAAAATCAGACGGTCAAGTAAGCCCAGGATTCTGTAACTGGGTTGGTGAATCGACATGATCACAATGCTCCCACTCTGCGCAATCCTCTGCAACACCTTAACCACCATGAACGCGCTCGTCGAGTCCAGTCCGGAGGTGGGTTCATCAAGAAACAGGACAATTGGGTCGTGAATTATATCAATTCCGATCGAAACTCTCCGACGCTCTCCACCTGAGACGCCTCTGTGGCCTTCATCTCCGATGACAGTCTTTGCCGCACTCCGTAATCCCAGTTGATCAATAAGAGCTTGAACTCTGGCTTTCTTCTTGCTCTTGGACAGCGAACGGGGAAGCCTGAACTCCGCCGAAAACATCAGCGTCTCCTCCACTGTCAGCATCGGAAACAGAAGATCATCCTGCATTACATACGCCGAGATCACCTTCAAAAGCCTCGATTCCAGAACCTCGCTGTTCAGGGTCACAGTCCCTTTCAAGCTCTCCTTTGCAATCCGGTCCGCCAGAGCATCAATCAACGTTGATTTCCCCGACCCACTCTGTCCCAACACCGCCATGATTTCACCTTCTCTGGCCTCACCCGATATATCATTCAACAAAACTTTGGTATTCACATCACTGTTCCCATCATCATCTTTCCCACCGCAGGGAAACCGAAACTTCCTGCCGACTTTAACACTATAATACAGGTTATCAAAAGAAAGAACAAATGGGCACGACGTCGGAACAGAGCTACAAGCATAGTTGATTTCAACAATCCGATGACTAAGATCACCGCCGGCGGGAGAATTTTCACCGGAGGTGTCTCTGTGCGCGTCTTCAACGCGCACCAGCAGCTCTGCCAGTGTGGGAGAGACGGCCGGTTTGGTTCTCCTGGGCCATTTCTGGAGCTCCATGTCAAAAACGGGGAGTCTTTCTCCGGCAGTAGGTCTCGCCGGTGACTTGTCTGCTTGAGCCATTTGCGTGCTCTATTGAGGAACTGAAAAGGGATAATGATTTATAGGGACGGAAGGGCATTGAGGAAAAAGAGTCAACATGTTTGGTGAATTCCAGTGTCCAACCCTTGCGTAATGTGTACAGTAGTTGAGAGGAATTGCGCACCTCGTTTAAGTTTCTATGTACCTCATTTGAAAAAAGAGATGAATAAAGATGTGAATTTATTTATTTTTTATTTAAAAAAATTAATTTTATGAATTTTTT